AAGACAAAGTGGGATTATTTTTCATTCTAAAAATATGTCGTTTTTGTTGAGCCCAACTCAAAGAATGTGTTTTTTAAGTGTATCGTTAAAATCTTCTCACATAGTAATTACCAAGTCGCTTATAGAGTGTGCATTTTTATAGTTGACTCAGGTTTAGCAGTCTAAACTTGTCAACTAGGACTGAACGATATGTGTGTTAACAATTGTTTTGAAATAGAGAATAAAGGTAACACTTTTCAGTAGAAACAAAGCCACTCAGAGATTTTTTATTTGTTTTGACCACTGATCATTTTTACTGATCAAACTGCGCTCATTTGTTGCTGGCAATACGACATTTGGTCCCTGTTGTATAAAAAATCCCTGTATTCTCTTTTCCTGGCTACACTCCTGCACCTTCTGTATGTTTAAAGAAAGTTATGTTGGCTCAGTGTAGAGATGCACAGACACAATGCTACAATGTTAAAAATTTCATTAAATGCTGATATACAGCAAACTATTGCATCATACTAACAAAGATCCATTGAGTTTTCCCATCCCCGACAGCGTACACGAAGTAGCGATATTCTTTCCTGTGTAACAGTTACCAACTACAGTTGAATCCCGGTAACTCTAACCCTCAATAACTGGAACTCCCGCCAACTTGAACCTTTTTCGATTCCCCTTCAGGTCATTTTCTTACTAATTTTACCCTCGATAACTCAAACTCCCGATATCTCAAACTTTTTTCGATTTCCCTTGAAGGTTCGAGTTATCGGGATTCAACTGTATTCACATCAATGTCTGTGGCTAGCGGTGATATTTACCGAGCCATGAAGCGGCGAGCTAAATATCCATCAAGTAGCCATCGACACTGCGGCGAATACGTTGTTTTTGTAAATACTCAATGAATTATGACTTTCAAAATGCTAACGACCGTTTGAGAATAAACTAATTATTGATTAAAGCTAAAACCCTGGCTGAAATTTTAAAAAAATTAGGTCTGCAGTGTGTACAGAGTGTCTAGCACTGATCTTTAATGAGCTTTATGTATACTAGTTATGTAACACTTTCTCGTGGTAGACCATGGAATACCCCACCTGTCACTTGTATTTTCTTCATATACACACTTGCCTTTAACTATTTTATACCATGCCATAGAAAATACACTAACTAAATCTCGCCGGGACATAAGATCGCAGTGCCCAATGGGAAGGTTGAGTTGAATACCGTCGAAAATACAACGGCTTTTCTCTGTTCTGATCGGCAGTTTTTTGTATGGCATGGTATAAAAAAATATGCTATTTCTACTCCAGATAACCTTCCTAGATACCCTTGCACTTGTTTAATATTCCTACTCGTATTTCTCTGCTATGCTGTTGAAGCTTGATATTTAGACCCTTTTTCCGCACCTATAGTATATCAGTATGCCAGCAAAATCCTAATAATTGCGCGACTTTGACCGAGCAATACAATAATTGAGTGGAAAAATGGTTAAGCGAGTGACAGATAGGTTAGATCCACGCGTTATAGTCACATCACGTTATACGACGCCCCACTCTCAACTCTCTACCCACTCAGTGAAAGCATTGAAATACAGGCAACATATAAAGAAGAGATACGCAAATATTGACCATTTTTAATTTTTCAGTGTTTTTTTTACTCTTTTTTGCATTTACCAGTGAGAAAGTGGTCTTTTTTTATTGATTTTTATCAAATTTTACAAATTTTACCAATTTTATACTTGTTATTATTCTTAGTTAGATCTTTTTAAATTATTGTAATTTATTTTCTAACTATATAATTGAGGGCCACAGGGTTAGCAGTCTACGACTGTTAGAAGTGTTTCTTCGTTAAGTAAAGTTAATTACTTGCCTACCGCTTACTTAAAATGCACAAAGCTCAATAAAGATCAGCACTAGCAGCACATTCGCAGTTGCCCCCGCCAGGAAAAC